TCTCACGGGTTTGGAACGACATGAGGGTGAGTAATTAATGACAGAATTTTCATTTTTGGGAGAACTATCCCTTTAACGATTACAAAGGGGGTTATATCTAAATATTTTCACACACATGCACACACACACACACACACACACACACACGTACAGATTGTCCCTCATGAAAGTCTTTACCATATCAAAAGAAAACAGTTTTTACCTGATTTTCCTGGTTCCTTCAGATTCACTTTACCGTTCTTGGACCCTGAAAATCAACAGGACAATCACAGGTTACTCAAACTAAGATATCAGCAAATCTACACCTAGAATTTAGTTCATTCTTAACTGGACTATAACATTCAAATGTGTCCTGTAGATCAGAGCAAGTCTTCCAGGAATGGTTAATTTGAAATTACTTACGTTTTTAATTATGCATTCAACCTCTACAGAGGAACATGATAATGTTATGGAGGCTGCAGGGGGTAAAAGCCATATGACACTCTCTTGGAGTAAAAGAGCAAGAATGCTTGAGTTGGGCGCTTCGCCTGCCAAACGCACATTTGTTTTGTGATGCTCCCCTAGACCTAACTGATTAAGCTGTTGCATGTGCAATTAAATCTAATTGGTCCTTTTCTAGTGAAGCTGTGGTTAAAGCCAAGCCAACAATGTTATGATCCAGGAACCCATTGCCTGCAGTGATTGAGTTTCAGTTTTGTGCGTGAGTGTGTGTTTAATGCAGTGCTATGCTAGTTTACTGCATGTGGCTTTGGTTATGTGGTATTGTTATGCTGGAACGTTTCTGTAGATTAGGATTAGCTCTGTTCCGGCATCTCTCAGTGCTATCACTGGCTTAGACGCTGAGTTTCTGCATTTCTCTGTTGATTTATATTCCTAAACAACTATGTGCCAAAACATTGAGATTGTGTAATCACTGTTTGGAATCACTTCAGAGTACTATTTATGATGTGAAAATCTCTTTTGAAAACAAAGAAGATGTGACTGAAGTACGGAGTAGAATAAAGGCATGAAAAACACAGCAGAGGTAGAAGTATGGTACCTTGGCATTGAGGTTTCTTATTGGCTACTGCTGAGCCGCTGATGGGTCTGCCACTGGGTGTCACACACCAACAATAACCAGTGTAGCTGTGGCACTGAACCTGTTAGTCAAATACAGCAGAGATCAAGAAAAAAGACAGAGAGAGGCAGAACAATTGAGAAATTTGACAGCGAAATTGTTAAAGGTGTAAAATCCTACAATATGCCGTCCGTTCGTCTAACCATCCATCCATCAGTCTGTCCATCTAACGTTCTAAATTTTCCTCTATCCATCTATCTATCTATCGCAGTGTTTCCCAACCTTTTTTTAGTCGCGGCACCCTTTGGAAATGTTAACAAACTTGTGGCACCCTACAAAATTAATTGTCACAATATTTGAATTTCTAACTTCGATATGATAATTTGAAAAGTATAGATATTTGGTATAACAGGGAAGAACTGCAGAATATATAATCTCATACATGTCACGTTGCACACACACGAGGGACGAGGAGACGCTGGAGAATGTTGACAGGACTTTATTTGCATGAACCAAGGGAGACGAACACAGGAAGACGTTCACAGGAACACGTTCACAGGAAGACGTTCACAGGAAGACGTTCAACAGCGGACAGAGAACTAGGGACTGGGAACACTTTAAATACACACAGGAGGAGGGGATGACGAGACACACCTGGAATCAATGAACCATCATGGGGAACACCTGGGACAAATTAAACATGGGAAAGGAACACCTGGGGAGCAAGACACAGACAAAACATGGAACAGAGTC